AAGCAATAGCCTCTCAATGATAAATTGTCAAAAGTCCTAATACAAATAAAGTTTTTGGTATTTATACCAAACCCTTTAAACTAGGTAAATATGTGCATAATCTCATAAATAAGATAAGAGATTGACTAAACATAGAATTCTATCAATTATAGAAAATTCGCGAAAAAGCAAATTTTCTGCCAAAATTAACCCTATGCGGTCGCATAGGCCAAGCGGCCCCTATGCGGTCGCATAGGCCAAAATTAACCCTATGCGGTTTCGGTTAATGTGCATGCGACCGCATGCATGGTTTTACTATGCAGTCGCATAGTGAAACATTTGGCATCCATCTTCAGTTGGTTGAATCAAGTTCATCCATCCCGATTTCGGCCTCGACCCCATCATGGAACTTGCTCCATTCTTCGTCATGATCGCCATATTGTCAACTGTAGCTTGAACAAGCAATGCCATCACTTCTTTCACCTACTTTTCCCTCGATCAAAACATCGATCCTTCTTCCACTAGCAATGGATCTTTCTCTGGACTTGTCCTCATTTCGATGGCACCTTGGATCATATCATGCCGGTTCCTTATCAGAGTTTTTTGAGACATATTGCTTCACTTTTCATATCTTCAAACACCAAGAGTCCCACTAGGTGTGCCAAATTGTTTCGCGTGGAAATCAGGCCTCACTAACAATTAAAAGAAAGTTCAGACGATTGTGTAAGGAATGACAACCACTCGAGACAAAGTTCCAATGATTGGTGCTTTATTTATGAAGATTACAATTCGTAAGAAGCAAAATGCCTCCAAGGGTGTAACGCACTGAGTTTTGTAAACCTTAAGTGCCACGACATTCTCATTTGTCTTGAATTAAATAAAAAAAAATTTTGCGAAAATAACTAAATTTTATAGATCACATTTATAATTGTGAACCTCATCAGCAACAAAAACTCATTTGATTTACTTACGATAATTGATTAAACTTTAAATCCCAAGTTTGAAATAACTGAAGTGACAAGTTAAGTTAATAATGTTCATAATGAGTAAATTTCACAA